CAAATCACATTAATGCAAATTCTATAACTTTAAACGCGACGTACAAGAAAACCCTATCCTATCTAAGAAACACATAGAGAAATGTCACTACTCTCGGGTATAAATCATATCCGAGGTCACTGTACTCGCAAAGTCAAAAACTACTAAAATAGTGCTACCAGTTACCGGTGCCATTACGGACCTTTCGCCCTGTGACATGATCGGTAACCGGAGTAAAAGAAAGCATGCGACTCACCGATCGTTGCCACAATCCGCACAGAACTCCGAACAAACTGAGATGTGTGGTTTATCCTGGATGACCAGTCATCAGCATTCCTCAGCATTCCTCAGCATTCCTCAGCATTCCTCAGCATTCCTCAGCATTGACTAATACTGACGGACACTCTTCAACATCGTCCAATAAAGTTCAATAAAGTCCAATACTGGCAAACACTGTTCAACATCGTCCAGTACAGTTCAATAAAGTCTAACACAGTTCAGCATTGTCCAGTATATTTTTCAATAAATTCCACCATTGTTCAACATTGTCCAATACCGTTCAATAAATTCCGACACTGTTCAGCATTGTCCAATACCGTTCAATAAATTCCGACACTGTTCAGCATTGTCCAATATACTTTTCAATAAAGTCTAACACTGTTCAGCATTGTCCAATATACTTTTCAATAAAGTCTAACACTGTTCAACATTGTCCAATATACTTTTCAATAAAGTCTAACACTGTTCAGCATTGTCCAATATACTTTTCAATAAATTCCAACACTGTTCAACATTGTCCAATACTATTCAATAAAATCTAACACTGTTCAAGAAAACCGGATGAAGCCATAAGAAGCCCGGCGTCCACACTGCGCGAAGACTACTGATTATCTAGGAGACGACTACTTGTCTAGGAGACGACTACTTGTCTAGGAGACGAGAGAGGAGAGAGCTCCTTCGCGAACGGCGACTCACGGTGAACTAACACTGAAATTTTTGAATCATTATCCTCCTGTTTCGCATTTTTCGTCCCCTATCGGCGATATTCGATGATTTCCGGTCGTACTCGCTACCGGTCCCCGCCGTTATTACCTGCGGCTTTGTAACTATTGAAAGAATCTAAGGAATTTTGGGGTATCGTACATCCGCGAAATGGGTTGCATTCTTAATCCTATTACGAAGGATTTTTAGGAAGACCCATGGTAACTACGCGTTCATAATAATCATCGCGCCGGTCAAGCGATTATTAAATTCCTGGAATTGACCGACGATGGGTCGCAGGTCAATACGAAAATATTTCATTTTGTGCGCACTAATCATTGGAATTTATATTCTATTCAGTGGCGGCTCGTAGCTAAAATTAGCGGATGTGTTTTGAAATGTTTGTATCTTTCTCGGAAACTGGAATTTCTCAGAATTTGTCGTTGTATGGAATGCCGAAAATTCTCGTAGCAGTGAACGCGTCAATGATTTGGCATAACAGTTCTTAAGTTATACTAATATTTAATTACTAACTTTACCAAGAATTTTCATTCGGTATCAGTTTCCTTATAATTGTTTTCAAGTAATTTGAATACTAAAACAATTTCAAATATCAACCGAAATTGACTTTATCTACGATTTACGTTACCGACACTGCTACAAGTGGAACTGTAGCGCAATCTGCAGCGAAACTGTTCAAGCTACTAGCGGATTAGTATCGTATTCTTGCCGTAAGAGGAATTCGAAGTATATTCGTCGAGCAGTGTCATCGAAACAGAAGAAAAACGATCGATTCATGTGCATAATCATGGTTAACTTAATTACCTCGTACTATGACGAAATATCGCACGATTGGATATCGGATTCCCTCTCGAATTGAATCTTCAAATTGAATTCAATTCGATATCTGTGTATTTCCGGAAATTGTCAGTTATTAATTACTAGCCTATAATTTCCACGGTGAAACCAACAGCTGGTAATGGGATTTCATTCAATTTTCCGTAGGTTGGTTCGTGCGATTAGATTCCGAAACAGAAGAAAAACGATCGATTCATGTGCATAATCATGGTTAACTTAATTACCTCGTACTATGACGAATAGAAAGTATCGCACGATCGGATATCGGATTCCCTCTCGAATCGAATCGACGCCTTGAATTCGATTCGATATATGTGTATTTCTGGAAATTGGTCGCCTATTTGCACGGTGAAACCAACGGCTGGTAATGGGATTTCATTCGAATTTCCCTAGGTTGGTTCGTGCGATCAGATTCGTCCGGAATGGACGAGAAAATCGACAATTAGGGAAATGCGTGGATACGATTCAACTTCAGCGTTGCACCGCCGCGAGCAGGATGAATCGCGAGGGTTCGAAACGGACGGTTGAAACAGTTTTGATTCTTTCTTACCATCCCGGTCGTCGACCGATGAATCGAATTCACGAGAACGACACGTTGACGGCGAACAAGGATCAGGAAAACTTATTCGGCGCAATACGGAATGCTGTTTTGGTATTGACAAGGATTCTCGTGATAGGATCTGTTGTTATTGGATTGGCTGCCGCGTATTTTATCACACGTTTCACACGCTGTCACGTATTCCCGAGTATTCTTTTGAAAGGTAATTACACGTGCGACGTAAATATTCGAATGGACGTAGATTTTTGAAGACGATACGTAGAACTCGTTGGAAACGAGGTTCTTAGTATTAGAAGTATGCAGTGTTTAAACTGACTGTTTCAAATTCTTTCGTGGAACGTGTAACCATGCGTTTTCTGAGGTTTCAATTGACTTGCTTCACTTGGTGAACTCTGAACGTTACTTGTATTAACGCAATATCTGTGTTATGGTATTATACTATACTGTACTATTCATAATTCTAATACTACACTTTACTATACTATACTATTCATAATTCTAATACTACACTACACTATACTATACTATTTATAATTCTAATACTACACTTTACTATACTATACTACTCATAATTGTAATACTAAACTACACTATACTATACTACTCATAATTCTAATACTAAATACTGTACTATACTATTCATAATTCTAATGCTATACTGTACTATATTATACTACTCATAATTCTAATACTACACTACACTATACTATATTCCCTCAAAGAAGTATCTGCACGTTTCCAGTAACTGTAAAAAGAAGACAGGAATGGACCGTTTCGACTAATTCGGTAGTTCTGGTGTTACTGGAACTAGTGAACTGGAACTACTACACGAATCTAACCGAACTTCCGTGAAAACTTTCGTTCACGCGGTGATCGTTACCAATTGCAGGCATCGAATTTCTCGGGCCGATTTTTATAAAGTTCGGCCAATGGGCATCCACGCGCAAAGATATATTCCCCGAGGATATCTGTTGCACGCTCTCGCGCCTGCAGCGTACCGCTTCGTCGCATTCCTGGTTTTACACGAAGCAGTTGCTGAAATCGATTTACGGCTCGAGCTGGAGGAAGATATTCGTGAAATTTGATAATAAGGAAGCGCCTATCGGATCCGGATGTTGCGCACAGGTAGAAACGGTGCGCCGAGCACGAGTATCGGGCGTGTGCAGAAATTCTTGCCGATTTCGATGAAAGATCTTTGAAGCTAAGTTAAAGGAATTAAATGAAATAAAATTTTTATTATTAGCACTTCAGACGGTTTTGTAATCTAACTGCAATTGCAACTAATTTTCATAGTACCCCTAGCGAGAATGAAAAATACAAAATTCGGATTTGTGGAAAAATTAAAAAAATATTTAATATTATAACTGGTGCAGTATTGGAGCCTACAGAGTTCAAAGGGTTAACTTATAATATTATACGAACATATAATACAATATATATAATATTGATTAATATACTCTTAAAATTTTCCTTGAAAATCTCCATGCTCTAAACGAAAGAAACCGTTTCTTTCGTTCCGTTGAGTCGGCAAGAATTTTTATACATTCAACCAACTCGCTTATTCGATGAATCGGCTGGTGCCTGACCGATAGGTGTACAAGGCGTGGGTAGATCTGAATGCTCGAGTCGAGGCGACGCAAAACCCACGGATACCGGCGTTCGTTCAAAGTAAATTAGAAAGCTTCGCTGTCTTATGATAAACCGACCGACCGACCGACGCACGGATGAACAGTTCGAATGGAAACGGAACTGTAGCTTTCGTTTATTACCTGAAACCGAATCTTCCCGTAGTTATCGAGTATCTGAGGCTCGGATCGTTGATCACGTCGATCGGTAAATGTATATGACACGCGCGCGCGTTACGGTGAAATTCCCGACGGCGCGTATAACATTGTTACGCGTGAAATTTTAGATGGAATGATGAACGACCGCGGAGAGGGCGGAATTCGGGAAGAGGATCCGCGATGCTCGAGGCTGGAACCGGTGGCGATCAAAATATTGCATCCCGGAATCAAGGAGCAATTGAGGTGCGACGTAGCGTTCCAGTTGTGTCGCGATGTAACGCAGACACCCTTTCTATTTTCTCTACTTTCTTTTCGCAGGAGAGATCTGTCTATAATGAGGGGCGTCTGCAAATGCGTAACGTACGTTGTCCCGGAATTATACTGGCTCAGCCTAACTGACTGCATCGACGAGTTCTCACGGATAATGGAGAATCAAGTGACTCCTTTAGGATATAGTTATAGGATACGCGATTCGAGTCGTGAATTCTAAAGCAGATCCACTTTTCAACGTTACCCAAGTTACTTGGATCTATTTAACAGACTCATGGACGTTTATCGCAGGTTGTTCTATTGTTTTTAGGAAAATCGATGTTCCTTCGATTTCGGAAATTAATATTGAACTGATTAACCCTTTGCACTGGAGAGGTGACAGTCACCGCTTCGATACAATAAAGCTATAACGTTGAATATTTAATATTTCAAACTTCTTGTAAAATCAAATGAAACACTTTTGCTGCTTGATTTATCTATGAATTATCGTTAAATCAGTTTCAACGAATATTATCTACATCTCGTCAGAAAGTGTTGAATATTTCCATTGAAAAACTTTCGAGTGCAAAGGGTTAATAAACAAGATAGGTAATAAATCAATGAACGAAGCTGAAAAGAGACATTGATTTTATTGAAACATTGATCGATCTCGTGCTATTTTGGAATTCACGGCTTCAGTTTTAATCTGCTTCGACGGTTTTAATAATCCTTTGTGTGTCGACGAAGGTCGACATGAATCGGGAAGCCGGTAACCTAATGAAATTTTCGAGAAACTTCTCCGGCAAGAAGGACGTCGTTTTCCCGCAACCGTACGTGAATTTCACGCAGCGCGAGATACTCGTGGAAAGCTTTCACGAGGGCTCCACCATTCTGGACTTCGTCGGTTACGAAGATGACAAGCTACAGGAGAAACTGGCGAAGATCGGAATCAAGATGATGCTGAAGATGGTTGGCAACCGATCGGTTTTAATCGAACGAAACGAAATGGAAACGAGAACGGCAACGACAACGACGCTGACAAGTAACAACGTTGATGATTATAGGTGTTCCGAGACAATTTCATTCATTGCGACCTACATCCCGGCAACATCTTGGTCGAGACGAAGCGCGAATCGATCGGAGGAATGCGAGCTTGGCTTTGGAGGTTTATCGATCGCGATCACCGGACAATTTACCCACGTCTGATCATACTCGATTGCGGATTGGTTGTGTCATTGGACGACCGATGTCAGCGGAATCTTAAAGACGTGTTTCGCTCGGTGCTAATGGGCAACGTAAGTGCTTAATTGAGCCATTTTTGAGAAACTAGTCAACCGTTCTAAAATTCGGGAACAGCCAGCCAACGGAGGTGAACGCTTTGAACGATTCATTTTTCTAGCTCATTTCGCTGACGGTCTCCTCAACTATATTTTCTTCGATCCAATAGATTCTCTAAAGAAAATATTACATTACATTATTAATATACTACGGATCTTCTCAAAATTGAAATTTACATCTCGACGGTTTTACTATATTTCAACTATTTTCAGGGTGAACTGGCAGCGGAGCACATCCTCGAGCACAGCTCGCATACGTGTCCCGATCCCGACGGTTTCAAGAACACGCTGCGTGGCATCGTCGACGATCACCTGCGCAACAGAACCGACGTAACGTTATGCTTCCGAATAACCTAATTTCCGGCGAGTTCAATAGAAGCTTTCTTCCAGATGAACGTGACCACGATCGTCAGTGAATTATTTTCCGCGATGGTTCGGCACAGAGTGAAGCAGGACGGTTCGTTCAGCAGCGTGATCCTCAGTATGGCGATGATCGAGGGCCTCGGCCGTAACTTGTACCCGAACATCGACATCTTCACGGAGGTTTTACCGTTCCTTTTCACCTGATCGAGACGATATTACGTGTTATCGAATGTGATCTGATCGGATCCGATGTACACGCGACAGCTGTAAGAAAGAAGCTCCAAAGGAAACGCGACGTTCTCTCTTGACAGGGAACCGTTCGGGACGAAAGAGGAGTTCCCTCTATCCTTCAACGATTCGCCGGTTTCAGGAAGTACGTTCGGCCGGTCGGTGTTGCGCGAGAAAATTCCTGGTTTAATGGCACAGCGTTAAACGAGTTCCAAGGAGGATTCCAATTTTAAAACAGACCACAGAAACGTGTTATCGCCGCGGACAGAATTCCGGCGAGCGACCAGTTATCCGTGATCGTTTCCTGGTTGGTCAACGTTGCCCGATCATCTTCGGTGTGCCGGCTACGCGCGTCGGGCCGCAGGTGTGTGCGTGACTTGTACGGGCGTGTTTTCTGGCTGCGTTCACTTTACTCTCGTAAAGGTATGCCACGTGTGCCCCGTGTGCCACGTGTATCACGTGTATCACGCGTACCCGACAACCGGCGGGTCGAGTTCGCCCTTTGTCAAGCGAGAAGAACTCTCGGGAAACATCGGAATCGAACATTTCTCGAGGTCCGATCGTTAACTCGACCGTAACGTTCGCAATCGATTCGATGAACGTAAGGCTACCATTTCAGCGAGCTCGAAGGATGATTATTATTCGACGCGAGTCCGTTGTACAGAAACCAGGAAGATGCTCGCACCGACGTAAGGTTACCGAGAAGAAAAGTCACACGGAGAACGCGTCGGCTGGGCGATAATTGATAGCGACGATGCGCCGAGTGTGCGTATCGCTTCTCCTAAATTCGTTCGCCGCGCTGGAAGAAGCAGAACTAGAATCAGAACCAGAATCAGAACCAACGGCAAAGGCAAAACCGGAACCAGAACCAGAAGCGCGGTCGGAACCGTGATCTTGACCGCCATCTCACGACCGTATCGTATGTTCGTTCTCGCTCCTCGGATCCCCACTCGATGTCAAACTACTCCCCTCCGAGCCGAAGAGGTTCGGTCGCGGTGTTCAGAGTCCGGCGACGTGAACGGGAGGCGCGAGAGGGGAACGGCGGCGCATGTAAACAGAGGACAGCTAACAGGACAGATAATAAAGTTCGTCTCCGAGAGTGGTGGTGGACGACCGGAGACGGACCGGGCCCTTGACGTTCGTTCCGGACACTTCTTTCAGCTCCCGGTCGATACTCGAGGCGGACCGATCGCGAAAGCTCGCTCGGCGTTCGGACGGACGGCTGTCGGTCCTCGATCGGGCCGAAATCGATTCACCGACAGCTGAACAACAGACCGATTAACGGCAATCAACGTTCGTCTCGTACCGTTCCGTTTCCAGCACCTCATCTCGCCTCGTTCCGCTCCTGTCCGGGATTCGTCTCGCCACTGTTCTTGCCTCCCGAATGTAGTCGCCGCAGTTGCGAGTTTCTCGGCGACGTCGATTTTCATCGGTACTATTTGTTAGAATTTCCTAATGAAATCAACGTTGAACGTTCGACTCGTATTCTTTTGTTATGTTGTCCCCGCGCTCCTCCGCGTTCTTTGGTATTCCAACTCGTTACAGTCGAATTTCTCTTATCGGTTACGGTTGGATCTACTGCCTGCGCTACCAACACTACCACCGGTACCGATTCGATCAGTACAATTACTATCGCTGCCGCTGCCGCCACCACCGCTACCACCACCACCACCGCCACCA